TTCGTCGTAAAATTCTGCACCTAACTCAAGTACACGAACGAATCCGGACGGCAAAAACTCGAATCTGCTGCTAACTTTACCCATGTTTCTATATCTTATTTTCGCCTACAGATATATGTTATAAGATGCACCCAGCACACGCATCAACTAGTCTACGTTTTATTGAGTCTTTTTATTACACTTAAATTCCACCCAGTCGACGTATTAGAAGTATTCTTCGAACTTTCGAGAAAATTGCACATCGATTTAACTATTTTCGCTTTGGCATAAGCCAGTAATATCTAGTTTTAGCTTGATTTTTCAATGTGTCTTTTTCAGTTATGCATCAAAAGACAACAATTCAAATCCTGTGATTGATCTTCATAACTGATACTCAAAACGTTAAATAGACCTGTTCTTTTTATCTAAGTTTGATTCAACAACTTATCGAAATGTAAGTATCAAATTAAAATGTAAATTATTATTTGTTTTTCATTTAGGCTCGATCCAACAGCTTTTCGAAATATAGGTATCAAATTAAAATATAAATTATTATTATTATTATTATTTTATTCAGATTCGATTCAATAGCTTTTCCAAATGTACATATCAATGCGTTAAATATAAAATTATGTATATTTTTATATATAAAAGTTTGTATGCATTATAGTTGAGGAGTGAGGGGAAGGTACAAAAATGTTCTGTGGAATACAATGGCAAAGAACATTATACGACTGTGTACGATCGTTTACAGTGGTCATATACACATTGTATTTCGTAGTATACGACACGACGATATACGGTCGTAGTACTGGTGGTAAGTAAAACAGCGAAATACGATGGCATACGATCGTTTTCGACTGTCGTAATGCTCGTCCTGGGATGATATAAACGCATGATTGTTGGTTTTTTTTAAAAAAAACTGATTTTTTTCTTCATACGGTGGTTTTGCGTTGAAAAAAAATTGTTTCGTTTAAATTACATTGAATAAAAAGTATTAATACAAGGTATTTGCGTGTGTGCCTATCGTACTTCGCATTTACTTCGTTATTGTAAAGTAAATATGTACATTGTTCTATCTACCAGTAGGTTTGCCTTTTGGCCTTGATGATCACTTTATTTTCTTTTCTATAGATAATATATCATATTTCATATAATCCTTCCAATATATCGGTAAAGAATTATGCCCATGTTTATACATTACGAAAAATTTGGTGCAAGGTGTTTAAAATGCAAAACGATATTGATGATGACGGTATGTAAAAACAATTGACAACAAACGTCCGTATACAACTAATGTATTTATCTATTTGTTTAAATAGTTAATTCGTCTTTAGAACTATCACGTTTTTTTCTTTCTCAAGTATACGAACGTACTCTCTTCGTCACTATATAATAGATTATTTTTTTATTTTTTGTTTTTCTCATATAAAATATTCGCATATCAAAATAAATTTTAGTAAAACAAGAAAAACAATTCACAAAAAGAAAAACAATGATGAATAAAAAACGTCCACCAAGTAAAATTAATTTTAATTGTAATCAAGTTAAGTTTTATATTTATTTCTTAGCTCATATGACAATGCTTGATCAACGATTTTTTTCTGATGCTGATTTACATGAACGTCAACAGAAATTAGAAAATGAAATAAAGAATCTTGAGTAAGTCTACTTGATTTCTATTTTAAAAAACTGTTCGTAATATTATTATCTAATATAGTTTATTAGCATTGGACATAAGTGAAGATGATTTATATGATGAATGGTGTGATCCAGAAACACCTCGTATACTGAGTTTTGAAGAAATAGCTGCTGCAGCATATCGTATTAAATATGGTGTTGAAAAAACACCATGCACAGTATATAATTAGTATTATATTTAGAATTCGATAGAATTCGTTTTTTTTTTCTTTCCACGTATAGCATTCACATTTGTCAAGAGTAGTTGACATGGATTTATATTTTAAAAAAGATTTTTTATTAAATACAGGTAGTTTTAAAGAACGAGGTGCAAGAAATACTTTAATGATTTTATCACGGGTTTGTTATTCATTTGTTTTGGTAGCGAAATTGAAGAATTTTTTTGATTATGATTAGGAAGAAAAAGCTCAGGGAATAATTGCAGCTAGTGCAGGCAATCATGCTTTAGCTGTTTGTTATCATGGTCAACAATTGGGTATACCTGTTGTGGTTGTTATGCCACGACATGCACCGATTATGAAAGTGAATAATTGCAAATCATATGGAGCTGTTGTTATTGTTAAAGGAATAGATTTAGCCGAAGTAAATAATTTAATAGATAAACAAAGAATAGTAAATTATTATATTTCTTCTAGTCAAAACGAATTGCATTAAAATTGGGCAAACTATTCGGTTTACGATATATTAATGGGTAAAATAAGATTATTATCTGGAAATTATTTATTATTTTTTTTTATTTTAGTTTTGATCATCCACATATTCTAGCTGGTCAAGGAAGTCTAGGTCTTGAAGTTCTTGATCAAGTTCCAGACGTTGATGCAATTGTTGTACCAACAGGTATTACAATTGTAATTGATTGATAGTAATTATTTTCTTTGTTTTTGTTATTTTAAGGTGGTGGTGGTCTTTTAGCTGGCATTGGTAAAATATAAATTTTCATGAATTTTTTTTAATATATTTATTACTAAATATTATTCGTTTAGCTGTGGCTATTAAATCGGTCAATCCTCATGTACAAATTATTGCAGCTGAATCCGAGCGTGCACCTGGATTTGCTGCAGCAATGAAAGGTAATTGAAGATGATTTTATGTTTTTGACTAATATATATATACATATATATATCGAAATATTTGTTGCAGCTGGTCGACCTACTTTTGCAGAATGTCATTCGACATTAGCCGATGGTCTTGCTGTTTCTGTGGTCGGTGCAAATGCTTATGCAACAGCTGCACCATTGATCGATAAAATTGTTGCTGTAAAGTTAGTATCTATAAAAGTCAACACAAAATAATAATAGTTTAAATTTTAGTGAAGAATATATTGCTATAGCTATATTACGTTTAGTTGAAGTAGAAAAAGCTGTTGTTGAAGGTAAAATTTTATATTTTTGTTTATTCGATTTCATTGTTAAATGTTCTATGATATTTAGGAGCTGGTGCTACAGGTTTAGCAGCTATTTTACAAGGTTTATTACCAGAATTGAAAGGAAAAAAGTAAGATGAAATCAAAAAAAATAAAATAAGATTTGAATACTTCTGTTTTTATTCTTTTCTTTTTTTAGAGTGGTAATACCATTATGTGGTGGTAATATTGATACAACTGTACTTGGTCGTGTACTTGAACGTGGTCTTGTTGCCGATAAACGTTTATTAAAAGTCTGGTTAACTGTTAGGTAAAAAAGATTTTATTCTATGGAATTAGTATCGATTTATGTTTTTGTTTTTTAATTAGTGATCGTCCTGGATCATTGGCACACATGTGCAAACTATTTAGTAATGCTGGTGCTAGTGTTAAAGATATTTATCATGAACGAGCTTGGCTTAAATCGGATATGTTTTCAGTTCAAGTAATTTAGTTTTTTAAATCATTAGTTGTGTTTTACTTTTTTGATTGATAGATTCAAGTTGTATTGGAAGTACGTGACCGTGAACATGCTGAGGAAGTGACGAAGATAATATCTGAAAATTATGAGGATGCTATATTTTATCAAGATCATTTATAACAAGAAATGTTCAATGATAAATGAACAATAAATCAATAATTAGAAGATAGAAAACAAAAGGAAATTATTTATCCGATGTGTTTCAAAAATATTTTTTTTCTAAATATTCAACAAATAGATTTTTATAGTTCATATCGACTAACATATCTAGTTGGATATTAAAAATAAAATCCTTACTTACTCATGGTAAATTTCTTCTGCTTTTTTTTCGATATACGATTGAGATGAAGAATTATAATTAAAATAATTAGTATAAAATATAAGTACCTATTTTAGTGTACTACATCGTGATTGACTATTTTTGAATTCTAAGTATGTATAATAAGTTTATGGGTTTTTTTTGCAAATCATCTAGATTTCGTGGAGTTTTTCTACCACTACAAAGTGATTCATCAATAGCAAGGTTATTATGGGACGTTGCACAGAAAATCTTTTCATGATTGCCCAATCACAATACATGTTGATTACGAGGATTATTCAATGATGTTTTTCATTTGTGTAGTACAGTAACTTTAAGTTTGATAAATCGTTTTATAGCAGCAAGAA